AGCGCCTGCCTGGCAAGTGCAAGGTCGTGAGTTCGGTTCCCGGTACCGGAAAAAAACAAAAAAAAAAAAAAAAAAAAAAAAAAAAAAAAAAAAGACAAACCGATCAATCAATCAATAAATAAATTTTTAAAAAGCCTTCTCCTCTGCTGGCCAATACTCTTAATTCAAACACTCAACTCCAACTTCTGGTGCTGCCCACAACTCAATGTGGCACCAATCTCATCAGGTGAGCTTCTTCCACACCTCCTGTCTGTGCCATCCTTCAAACCTGTCCTCCAGATTAATCTTACTGCAACATCAGTTCATCATGTCATCTTAGGCTAATGGCTCTCAGAAAGTTCTCCAAAGACCTGCATAACCATGTTTACTGCAGCACAATTCACAACAGCCAAGATGTGGAACCAGCCTAGGTGCCCATCAACAGATGAACAGATAAAGAACATGTGGTATAAAAAGTAGAATATTAAACAGTAGAATATTATTCAGCTGTAAAAAAGAATGAAGTTATGTCATTTGCAGGAAAATGAATAGGAGTGGGGATCATCATATAAATCAGACTCAGGGAGACATAGTTTGCATGTTTTCCCTAATATGCAGAACCCCTACTCCCAAAGGCATGAAAGCAGAAGGGAGGCTATTATTAGACAAGAGGAAGGTGGTGGTGTAAGGGAGGATAACAGAGGAATGGATATGATCAAAATCTTATACGCACGTGTAAAAACACCACTATTTTTTTTAAAGTTTCCCAATAAATCCCGAACTCTTTATGGACCTAGACACAGATTTCTGAACATACTTAGAGTATACCACACTTCTAGTAAACAAAACGGTATCATTCAGAGAACTTCCTGCCTTTCCATCTAAAGTTTCTACTTCCTATCATCCCTTGAAAAACCAGGATTACATTCATCCCAGTCAGGACCTGATTGCTATTGCTAAATGCAGTCTTGCCACATGGGTCCTGTGCATTCACTCCCACAGAATCCTTAACATCTCACCCGTCTTTCTCCCCACCTAGATTGGGTTGTAAACACACAGTACGAATAGTGCCGCCTTGGGAACTGAGTATTTCTGAAGCATAGCAGCTGATGCTAAAGGCAGTGATGGTGAAGGGTGGGCACTAAGAGGCTTGAGCACCACTCACCCTTCCGGTTCATCCCCATCTGGAGGCATTTGAGTAGGCGGCAGTACTGGCACCTGTTCCTCTGCTTCCGAGACATGACGCAGTTCTTGTCACGACTGCATCGATACACCCGTTTGTTGCAAATGCTCCGCTTGAAAAACCCTTTGCAGCCCTCACAGGAGATGATTCCATAGTGCAAGCCTGTGGCACGGTCCCCACAAATGAGGCAGGTTCGTTGTTCAGCCCGATCATCTGGAACAGAAACTGAACATGTTCAAGTTAGAGCAGTGGGATAAAATGATCCTGCTCTGGGAAGATCAAGAATACCACCATCTTCAGGCCAACTGGCAACAGGGAGCATCTTTGGAAACTGTCTCAGGAACAGACCCCCCATATCTACCTGCAGATATTATAAATATTATTTATCTTAAAAGTAAATAAGCAAACATACACACACACACACACACACACACATACATACACATACATATACACACACACACACCTTCCTCTGGGGTTTTATCTTCACTTTGAACAGTATCTAAGTCAGAAACCTAGGAAAAATTTGATTCTTCTCTCTCCCTGCCTTTTCTCATCCACAGTACATCAACGCTACCCTGTAGGAAGGTAGTAAGGATTACTAACAACATGTAAGCACTCAGCACATGGTATTCCTAGTCTACATCCAATAAATTATAGCTAGAATTATTAACAAGGGAAGATGTTTAAACCATGCCCAGCTAAGATAACCAGGCCAGATAACTCATATTTATTTATTTACTTATTTATTTGGTCTTTTTGAGACAGGGTTTTGCTATGTATGCAGTTCAGGCTGGCCTTGAGCTCACTTTATAGCCCAGGCTGGTCTCGAACTCACAAGGATCCTCCTGCCTCACCTCCCGAGTGCTGGGATTACAGGTATGCACCACCACGCCCAGCAAGATATACAAGTCTTTAGGATCACTATTTGGTAAGCTGAGTAACTGCCAACTAGATACTGGGCCCTAACCACTGGAAACTATAAATGCTATATGATAAAGGAAAACAGTCTTTGAGTTGAGCAGATTATTCTGGATTATATGAGTGGGATTAAATGCAACCTCCAGTGTCTTCATAAAAGAGAGAGAGATTTGATAATGGTAGTAGAGAAGACATACACTCACTTAGAGAAGATGATATAAGACTGGGGCAAGAGCTCAAGGAATGCCAGCAGCCACCAGAAGTTGAAAGAGGCAAGGAACAGATTCTCTTTAGAGCTTCTAAAGGAGGTAACTGTCCTGCCAACTTATTCATTTCAGCCTAGTAATAATGATTTTTTACCATCCTAATTCTAGAGCTGTGAGAAAATAAATTTCTGTTGCATTAAGGCACTTAGCTTGTGGTAATCTGTTATAGCTACACATGTAATTTAACATGTCATTTTTGGAGACAGGCAGACACAATAAGCCTTGTCCAAGATGGGCATGGTGGCGCATGTCTATAATTCCAGCACTCTGGGAGGCTGAAGCAGCAGGATCCAAACTTGATCCCAACCTGGGCAATTCAGCAATTTAGTGAGATCCTGTCTCTAAATGAAAAAATAAAAAAGGGCTCAGGGGTATAGCTCAGTGTGAAGGCCTAAGGTTCAGTTCCCAATAGTGGGGGAAAAAAAACTTGTCCCAAATCACACTGCAATGAGAAGCAGATATATGAGACTCAGACTATACAACAAGGGAAACAGAGAATGACAGACATGGGAAGGATTGCCTAGGTACTTGAGGGCTGCTCTACAGTTTCTTATCACAGACTTTTCTAAGGCTTAGAGGTACTTTATAACTGTGAGCAAACAGCAAACTGATGAGTTGTAACAAACTGAAATTTCCATGTTCTTGTATTACACGCCTTGTTTCTGTCTTAGTAATTTAGGTAATTTTGTTTTTTGCTACCAAAAAACCCTCTAATTTTTAAAAAGGAAAAAGAAAAATACCTTATAAAAATGATCCTAGTATAATAAATATTCCATTTATTTTTGAAAACACAAAGAAAGCTCAAGGTAAACATTAGAGCAAAATTACAATAACAAAATTTTAAAACTCTATCAGGTAAAGTCGAACAGAAAAAATGAATGGCATGGGGGCTGGGGATTTAGCTCAGTGGCAAAGCGCCTGCCTGGCAAGCGCAACGTCGTGAGTTCAATTCCTGGTACCGGAAAAAAAAAAAAAAAAAAAAAAAAAAAAAAAAAAAAAAATGAATGGCATGAAAACAGGACCCCCAGTGCTGAGCTCTGGCTGCTGAAAATAAAGAGTGTGGAATGGTGTTAAAAAATCATGATCAGTTACAGAAGAGTTTCAATTTTCTAATTTCAAATTAAAACCTTCAATACTAAGTTTGGGAGGGTGGCTCAGTGGTAAAGCATTTGCCTAACTTGCATGAGGCCCTGGGTTCAAACCCCAGTAACCACAAACAAAACAAAACCTGTTAATGTTCTATTAGACACAGAATATACATCAGAAAGTGACTAGAACAGACTTGAAATAGTTTTAAGTAACAGATATCTTTGAGGAACACCCCTTCCTTTCTTCAATGATAAGACTGGATTTTAGTGAGCACCTACCACAACCACGTAGGCGATACTTCACTAACTCAAGTAATCCTCAAAACTCAACAGGTGAGTACAACTGCTACCACCATTTCCTAAGTGATGCAGGAGGAGCTCAAAAACAGTTACCCAGCTTGTCCTCCTGTAAGTGCTAGCCCTGGTCATTAACCAATGTCAGAACTGGAGTTCAATAATCTCTTCATAAAGCATTCCAGTTATATGGCATTCTGTGCAGCACCTGGGATCATGAGCAAAGGACCCAAGGACAACAATGCAGAACTGCTAAGAGTATGTTCATGACTAGGAACATTGGTTTTTTTTTTTTTCTTTTCCCCCATGATAGCTTCAAAAGATCATATTGAGATCAAAGGCAACTGGAGCATATTTCTTCAGCAATGAATACACAGAGTCTTGAGTGCTCTGACTGTTCCTGTTTGGCCATTGTTAGCCTTACAACCACGTTCTGGTTTTTGTTTTTTGTAGCACTGGGGATTGGGCACCTTTTCACTGAGCTATATTCCCTCACCCCCTTTTTGAGATAGGGCCTTGGTAAATTAAAAATTGCCCAGGCTGAGTTTGAACTTAAAATCCTCCTGCCTCAGTCTCCCAGAAAGCTGGGATTACAGGCTGAGTTTGAACTTAAAATCCTCCTGCCTCAGTCTCCCAGAAAGCTGGGATTACAGGTTTGCATCACCATTCCTGGCTCATGTTGCTTTTGTTTTTTTAAACAACACCGGTCTATGCCATAGGTCGTGAACTAATTCATAAAGGAGCTTCTCAAAGGTACAAAAGAAAGGCTCTTTCGAAATCAATCTCATACCCTTCCAGGAAGCAGTTGGAAAATTGCTCTTAAGTATGTAAAAAAATAATAACAGGGTCAGCTATTGAGTACCTAGGTTCCAGGTGCTGGCCAAATGCTTAAAATAATTATGCTAAATCACTATAAATAATCTCCCATGAGGTGGTATCACTCCCTAACAGTCACTGGCTAGTAAGGGAGGGAGCTAGCCTTGGAGCCCCAAAGTCTACATTCCTTACCGTTAACATTCTTTGACCACAGTAAGACAAACTCATTCATTCTATATGCAGGTGAGTCAGGCCCTTCCCTTCTCAACCACTCATCTACTCAACCATCTTCTCAATCCAAAAAGCTAAGGTATCCCTTTGTAAATGAACAAACTGATGAAGGAAAATGCCCCTAATGGAATCTGGTCAGATAAGAGACTAGATTTCCGGATCTCCTATTCTTGTAAAGGACTTGAAGGGTATTTGAAGCATGTTTACATTCATTATCTCATTTGTACCAGGTCAAGGTAAGGATTATTTTTATCCTATAGATAAGCCAGTTAGCACTGACAGTACACTATGCAGCGTGCATGAATTTTCACATGCACTGTTCATTCTCACAGTAACTGTGACTGTGAGTTATTATTACTCCCATATTACTGAATTTGGGAATCTTAAAAGAGTTAAAAAGGGTTTTTAAAATTATTTTGTACACACTTTACTGGAGGCAGGAATTCCATTTACAATAATTCCAAGACAAGGGCTGCCCTCACATCCTTACTTGTACATCTCTTCTAGGCTCAATAATGTACCCCAGATCCATTCATTCTAGTTTTAGGCAGGTCTAATGGTTCAAAATCTTTCCTATAAATTTACATTAAGACAAACTTGAAATGTACCCATTTACCTGAGTAATATGCATATGGCAACAAAAAAAAAGAAAAACAATCCCTACATACACAAACGAGAGAAAAAAACCCCAAAAACCAAAAACCACAATCTAACTAAGTTCATATAAAAACTACTCAGAGAGTTAAAGATATTAATGGGCCTGTGATTATTCTCTTCTCTCATTTTAAAATTTTTAATCATACGGCATCAAAATCTCTTCAAAGTATCCAGAACAGAAAATAGCTTGTTTTTCTCAATATAGTTTTTTTTGCACTGGGAATTGAACTCAGGACCTTGTGCTTGCCAGGCAGGCGCTGAAACACTGAGCTATGTCCCTGGTCTTCTTAATATAGTTTAAGACTAAATGAACTTATAACTTTTTGTAGCTACTAGCACCAGGAAGCACATAAATTTTATTACTGAAAATCTGTGATGTGATACATACTTTGTAAAGGGAAAACTGAAGCTCAAAAAAATTAAAGAAATTTAATCTTTATTACATAGCCAGTCAAGATTGAATACAGATTAAAATTCAAGATCTTTTAATTCTAAGATGGTTATATTTCTATACCACCCCCACCTGAGTTCACATCTGGTTCACAGACATCTAAAACCTGAAGTCTTTATCACCTGTACCGTTTGCCCCTGTCTTTCTTATTCCATTCTTGTGAAGCAGGTAAAGGTTGAACCTAAGGGCAGGACTTTACATTTGTCCTTGATTAATTTTATCTTTATATAACAAATTCTGCATGTTATTCTAGTCCACTGAAGTTTTTGGGGGTCTAGTTTTTGCTACCATGTATATTATTTTTTTTACTTCTTTCTTTTTCTGTATGTATGGTCAATGGTATATAATTTTCATTTCCATCCTTAAACAATAATAAACTGGGTGTGGTGATGTATGCCTGTGACACCAGCACTCTGAGAGGCTAAGGCATAAGGATCACAAGTTTATACCCAGTGTTTGGGCAACAGAGCGAGATCCTATCTCAATATGAAAAATTTAAGG